TTGTGAATAGCATCTTCACTTGTAACAGCGAAAGGTGAGGTGATGTTTCTTATTCCAGGAATCAAATTCTGCAGGCCAGCATTCAGGCAGGGCTACTTGTGTAATACGTAACATTTAAGCAGTGTTAGAAAACAGCTTCTGCAAATAAAGTTTCCCTTACCTGCACTTTTTCATCTCTCTATCTGGGACTAGTTTGAACAAATTTTTGTGACTAATGCCAGTCTCTGCACAGTCGTCAATTTTTGGAAGCTTATTTTCATTGTATTAAAACCTTGTCCTGGTGGAGCAGCTTTGGAAAGGAAAGGATGTTTACTTTTCTGCCTTTTTGCATGTCACTGGAGGTAGACCTTAAAGCTAAGCTGATTTCTGACCAGACTTGGCATTCCATTATGCTAAAAGGTGTGAGAGGGTCTTAACTGAGACTTCAGTTTCTAGTCAAGAAATTGTTTACGATGTTCCTTTTGGCTACATTACCACACAAGAAACTGAAATTTGGTAGTGTCAACTGACTGAAGTAGGCTGAATAAATCTGGACCAATGCCTGAACGCTATTGAGGTCCTAGAACTGATTATTTTTTTCCCGATAGATTGAAATAATTCCACATGCGATCACTTCCTAATTGCTTCTAATTAGGAACAATAGTGAAGTCTTACGGTAAAAAGAAATTACCCATCACTCAAGTATTTGGGGGGGATGCAGGAGTGCGCGTGATTGCTTATCTAAGTCTTGGAAAACCTTTAGTATTTTCCATTGTTACAGGTTTTTTTCCCTGACTTTGTTTTCTCCAGATGAATTGTTCCTATAAAGGAATTTCAACTCTGGATAATTATTGTTCTGTGTTCCAAAAGCTAATAAAAACAAAGCTTGACAGTGTGCAGTTGGAGGCCTATGGAAAAACTTGGGTGTAACACACAAAGTAGAAAAACAAATTTTTCTAATGAGGCCAGGAAGCTACAATCACATTTTCCAGTTTTAACTGTATGTATTGGTCCTCACTGGGAATGTTTCCTGTTAAACAGAATTTTTCCTCTATTTGATTTTTGTAGTTCATTTGGGTTTTTTAATCCATAAACTGTGAACACGAGAGGATAATAAATGTCAAAGATATTTGTGTGTGATCTCTAACACAGGGAAAGGATATATTTTTGTAATATTTTGTAGGGATGCACGTTGCTTTGTGCTCTGGAAGACTGGTAGGATTGGTTTGCTTATTCCAGTAGTTGTCTACAAGATACTCTGGGAATGCTGTTAGTAATAACCACATACTTTACAATTTGATATTTCAAACAGACCCTTTTCTTTGAATTACGAGGCTTTTATTTCATCCAAGTCATTTAAAGTGTACCTCCTTCCCTTCCCTTTTCAAACCTGCACCTCTTCCTAGGTTCTCAGGGTATGCTCTCTGGTGTGATTGAGCCTGTAAATGTTCTTCTCTAGAATTTGTGATGTCATCGTTTTTTTCAGGTGCTTTTGAGAAACTGGAAAACATTTTTATTGCTGATTGATTGTTTTGTAATCATTGAAGATTGGAGTTAGATCTGACTCGTTATAGTAATTCAAATTTCTGTGTGTTACTGATATCAGTGCTTTAATTTATTATAAAAGTATTCAGAGTGGTTGGAGAGGGTACATGTCAATCAATTCACTAAATGAAAATCAGACCACCAAGGGAGTCTTGTGTGTTTATCCAGGCCTTTGCGTGTTTTATTACTCTTCATTTGAGCCCAGAGTGTAAGAATAATGTGTCACTGCTCTAACCCTTTTGAAGAACTCCTTTATGTAAATCCTTCTTTAGGGTTTTTAAGGTTTCCTGTGGTGAATAGAAAGGAACATCAAATCCTATATTGGTGGGTGTGTTTCACTTTTTAATGGAATTTCTTTTTTCTGTATGTGGTTACTTACAGTGGTATAGCTATTTATGATTGTTTGAATATAATTTGAAGTGAGTTTATGTGAAGATCAGTCATGTTTATTTGAAGAGTTAAAGAAAAGTGTTACTATATACTTATTCTATATTTCTTATATTTTCTTATCCTGTATATTCTGGGGAAGGGCCGTAATGTTATAAGAAGACCATAGCAATTCCTGAACTGGTGACCTTTAATCTTCTGAGAACACTTAGCTTTTTTGGGAAAGACAAAGGTGCTGCAGGGGGTGGAACTTAATCTTTCCTGTGCAAGTTTGAGGCTTAAATTCTGCAGAAGTGTTTTGTGTAAAGAATTTGCTTCCCTTAGGTAGCACAGAGTTACACTACGTGAGGACTGCTTGCAGTGTGCTCAAATGGGTTGGCTTAGAGTGGGTCATTTTACTTGGTGTGGAGCATACGGAGTTGAAGGCCACATTAAGTGCCTTAGCACCTGGAAACAATTTGGCAATATGTTGGGGATGCTGCACAGTTGACATATCCCTTCCTTTTACACACACCTTCCTAGCGTAGCTTCTGTCCAAAGTTAGGTGAGCTTCTCTGAGACAATTCTGTCTTTGCTGTTGTGTTCTCTGATTACAATTCAAAAGTCACAAGATATTAAAAATAGTAATCAGGGTGGGGATATTTAGTCAAGTGGCTTTGATATATTATTTTTTTTATTTCAAACCTTCATAGATGAAGAAATTATGCTAGAAAGGTTTGTCTCAGTCTACTGTGCAACAGTTTCCTTGCCAACCTGTAGTACCTGCTGGTGATGACACCAAGGACTAGGACTGGTTGCCAGTTTCAGCAGCAAGTAAGCATCTCTGTTGTGGTGGGTTCTATTGCCCCCAGTTGTTCTTCGGCAAAGATTCTTCCCCTGCGTGTTACATGAAGAGGAGTCAGTGATCTTGGGTAAATACTGACCATTTTTACTGCCAAGTCTGTTGATTTTGGGGCTGCAGGTGTTACTGCCCCTTCTCAAGTGGCCTGTTTTGCGCACTGCTAGATGAGATATCTGTCAAAGGAACTCCTTGCTGTTTTCTCTCTAAATTTGGTATATGTGGGCTTTGTTAATGAATGATCCTCTTGTCTGCTCCTGATTTGGTTTACTAGTGCTGTTACTCTAAGGTGACTTAATGCAACAGCACGTTCTTTTTCATGGACTGTTCTTTATGCAGTATTGACTAGCTTGCCCAGCGGAACCCTCAGCTTTCTGTGAAGCAGCATACCTTGTTCTTGAGTGACATTGATTTAATTATGTCTTTAAACAAATACAGCTGTGAGCACTTCTAATTACACTGCAAGACCTTCTTGGCCATGGAGAAAAATTAATGCTAAATTTCTGTAAGAATCCTCACAGTTTCTTACGATTTTATATCGTAGATTTTTTTTCTCCCAGATTTCAATTTCTGACAATTTCACCCTCTGGTGACCAGATGCAGTAAAAAACAGTCCTCAAATACATCATGCTTTAAAGTAGCAGGTGAAAGCTTGACCTTTTAGAAAGGGGTTACTAATTCCAGTGATGTTTCAGAGTCGCAGTAGGTTCCAGGTAGGCCTTACATTGTGTGTGTCTACTGCAGTAGCTAATGTAAGACCTGATCATTTTGGTTAGAAAACATTCAGAACATGAATGTTCTGCTTTGACTTCCATTAAGATAAAATTAATTTTGGTTTGAGTCTTATCCTGTCATATAAACAGTTGGATTTCTTTTTAACAGGTAGAGGCATATTTTCCTGTCTAAAATTCAAGTGGACAAAACCCTAATATGAACTTGCACATGTTATGAGTCCTATAGTACAAATTTTTGTATTGAAAAGAGATTCTGTCTTCTAAATAACTCACCCTTCTGTATGTGACTTCCAAAAAATACCTGCTAAGGAAAAAGTGTAGGTTAAAAAAAGATCCCAGTGATCCAGTGTGCTTGAATGGTGAATCATCCATGTACTGCTTGAGGAAATCTATGGAGGGGAGTTTGTCGTGTGAGAACCCAGTGTCCTTAATGGCTGAGCATTTTTGGCAGTGCCCTTTCCCTTTCCCGCCACTTTGGTGAGCCTTGTGCTGCCTGGGAGGTTTCGCTCTGTTCTCTATCGCAGCTGTGGATGGCAGTGAGTCATCCTCTTGTTCCTGTCTGTCACCTGAAATCAGCAGTGTTCCTGAAAAAAAGTAAAACAAAATTCATCGTTCTTTCCCTTTTGGTTCATAGTAACCCTGTAAGACACAAATCTGTAGGCAGCTCTACAGGAACATGCTCAGAATTATGTCAGAAAAGTCTATCTTTTTCTGCTTCTTTATGTACTGGTCATGGCATAACATGGCACAGAAATGCAGAACTCTGATTAAATAGTAAATGCCCCAGTGTGGCTGCTGTTATTGTTCAGCATGAATGCTCAAGAATATGCCATGACTTGAACTGCATTGTAAAATGAGGTTAGATTTTCAGTCAGCCTGCAAAAAGTGTTAGTTAACCATTAAAAATGTTCCTGGCTTTCAAAAATACAGTTTTGTTGGCATTTCTGAGGTGATGGGAAAATTTTATGTGTAGCAGGTTTTGAAGGTTATGAGTACGTAGATGTGAAAAAAATCGAGCTGCAGCGACCCGACTTTTTCCTTGCTTTTGTAGAGTGAGTGTTGACCCATTTAAAAACTTGTGCTCTAGCCACCATTATAGTGCAGACATTTCTCAAAATGCAGAATGTCAAATTGCCATCAGACAAATGCAAAGCATTGGGTTCTTGAGATGATGATAGTTACTGGTGTGTTTTCTTTACAAATGAAAAGATTGATTTCTCATAAAAGTGTGGTGTGCTATAAACAGTTACATACAGTCATACAGCATAAGTTATATGAAATTACAAGACAAGCATTACAGAGAGAGATAATTTGGAAGAAACTCGAATATTGATGAAAGATAGTTTTTCTTATGCACAGCCTCTGAGAGTATTAATTTAGGGTACAGCTTCATATAAAAATTAATAATATATAAACAAAATAATGCTCGCTTTGCAGCATGCTTGTATTTTATTCATGTATGCACACATGGTCCACTAATTAAGCACAGCTCTTTATGGTTTATTTATTTGTTCTAGAGAGGCTGCTTAATATTTGAGAGAAACGGTAACGATGTGTCTGACCTTTACAGTGGCTGTGTTAATGGTAAGATGGGTTTTGCAGGAGCCTACAAGAACAATAAAATAGCAGGTTGATCTTTTTCTCCATTTGCTGGAACATGCTCAAGAGACTTGAAAGCACAAGAAGAAAAGCCCAACCAGAAAGTGGTTAAAGAGTATATTCTTGTATTTTCAGATCTCGGGAGGATGCTACTGTCAGGCTGAAGTAAAGAGTTAAAAAGTTTGGTTCTTTGCTTTTTGTTGTGGTCTGTGTTTTATTACAAAACCACCAGGAGATATATAACCACCAGGATAGTATTTCACATGATGAATAGTTGGTGTTGGGGTTTGGTGCCTTTTTTTTTTTTTTTCCCTTCTGTTTGTTTGTTTCTTAATAACAATATAAATAAATGTAAAGGGTGGAGGAGAGCAGTCCAGATTTTAAGTTTTACAGAGTATGGGTAAGTGTGCCTGAGTCTTTTGTGTGGTGGTCTTGTAGTGGGATTTGTCACTAAACTTCCTAAAAACAACCAGGGGTATGAACATGCAAAGCTTATTGCCTCTCCCTTTTTTATGGCCTTTGCTTAACAGAGATTCCCACCTCTTTTTCCCAAAACATCCCCTGAGTCTGTGTGGCAGAGAGGAGCCTCAGTGCTGGTTCAGCCTACTGCTCCTTCCTCCTCCTGCCTCTCCCTCGTGGCTCCTGTCCCAGCTCCATGCTCTTCTCTGTTGTGCATGCTGTGTGCACACTTGCTACCTGATAAGGCTCCGGGTTTTATTTCTGATTAAGGCAAAACAACTGGGAGCGAAAGAGTTATTTGTTGCAAGCACTAATAGCATAGATTTTGAAAAAGCTGAAAAAGAAAACGGGTATGGAGAATCTGATGGATCCCTGTGTATTCAGATGGTAACATTGCTATATATAAAGCAATGGAAATTAAATGTTTGTTATATTTGCAACAGGATTTTGTGGGTGATACCAGTACAGAACAATGTTGAACTGACTTCCACAGGAACATGACCATTTCTTACGTTATGTGGAAGCTCTGTGTATGTGTACATACAAAATTAATATTCTAATAGTGGAAGATGCAATTTGTGGGCTATTCAGTCACTCATGTTTTTGCTAGTTAATCATGAATCATCTGCTGTTGGAACAGTACTTTTTTGTTTAATTACCCACTGGTACCTGTTTGTTAGAGCTCAGCCTGCAGAGCTCTTACAGTGCTGCAGTGTGTGCCATATTTTTCCCTTAATCAGCAGGTAACATTAGATAGCCTTTGTTTTCTTGATTGCATGTCTGTTTTGCTCTATCTTTATAAATATAAAAATCTCCTTTCAGCATACATGCATAAGTAGTATTTACCTCAAAGTAGTAGTATGCCTCATAGGCTTTTACACTGTGATGCCTTTGGGGAAGAACAGAGGCAGTTGTCTGAGAGAGTGCAAGTTAATGGTACATGCTTCTTCCAGCCAAACTGATTGGAGAGAAGTAACAACTTTTCCCTCTCCTCTTTCCTCCATGCAGGATCAGTAGGACTAGCTAGCCTTCTGGGATTTTGTTTTTGTAGAAGGAGGGTGAAGACTTGGGGAAGTCTGGAGTTTTCCCTCACCTTCTATTTTCTTGCAATGATTATTCTTTTTCTGTGTTGTATAATGAATTGTTTACAGCTCATGTATCCACATGGGGATGGATGAGGAGCCAACCGAGAGCTTGTGGGTCAGGATTAAAGGGAGGGCAGGGACAGGTGACATTTTGGTGGGGGTCTGTCACAGGTCACCCAAGCCAGGAGGGCTTGAGCGGATGAGGCCCTCTACAAGTCCGATAGGTGCAGCCTCATGTTCACAAGCCCTGGTGCTCACGGGGGGTTTCAGCGTAGTAGGGAATAAGTAATTCAGGAGGATCCTGGAATGCATTGATGATAACTTCCTTCTCCAAGTGATAGAGGAGCCAACAAGTAGATACGCTGTGCTGGACCTTATTCTCATCAACAAGGAGGGGCTGGTGGGGAACGTGAAGCTCAAGGGCAGCCTTAGCTGCAGTGACCATGAAATGGCAGAGTTCAAGATCCTTAGGGCAGTGAGGAAGGCGCACAGCAAGCTCATTACCCTGGCCTTCAAGAGAGCAGACTTTGTCATTTTCAGGGATGTGCTTGGTAGAGTACCATGGCATAAAGCCCTGGAGGGAAGAGGGGCCCAAGAAATCTAGTTAGTACGCAAGGATCACCTCTTCCAACCTCAGGAACAAGGCTGCTTCCTAACAAAGAGGAAGTCAAGCAAAAACAAAGAGGAAGTCAAGTTTTGGTCTTTTACAGCCCAGCTCTTATCATAGAAGTACTATGTGAAACATAAAGTAATTTAAGGCAGTTTAAGAGTTCTTGTTGCTTGAATGAGAAGGTCACAATGTATCTGTATCAGGCCCTTCCAGAGCTGTATTTTAACTTCATAGTTGGTTGTAGGTGTCATTGCTTCCAGAGAGCAGTTGGGTTTCAGTATATTACAAAGACCCACATCCATTAGTTCCCACCAGACCATTTCAGTGAATGGACTACTAGGGCTGG